ATTTATAAATAAATAAATAAATATCTCGGTTCCCAATTCAACCCCTGAAATTCCTCGAATTTCCTCGACCCCTTAAAATACTGGGCTTCTCTTTGCTTTCTATATCCACCATCACCATCACACATAACCATAACCATCACCATTTCTTTCTTTTCTCTTGCTTAAAGAAAAAGAAAGAAATGCTGCGTAGAATGGTGATGTTGAACAAGAAAAAGAAAACTGGGACCGTTCCAGTTTACTTAAATGTTTATGATTTGACGACGATTAATGGTTACGCTTACTGGGTTGGTCTCGGGATCTACCATTCCGGTGTACAAGGTCAGTGATAGCTTATAAAGTTTTGATCTTTTTTATGCTTACTTGGGTTCTCTTGTTTTTCGATTCTAACGATGTTTTTTTGTAAGAAAAATGACGTGGTTTCTTTTGTTTCTTTTAAGGTTTTGTTTTTCACTGTTTAGATCCAAGGAAAAGCGTGTTTATGTTTTAGAGTAGTTTGGTTTCTGAGAAAATGAAACGGAAGGAAAAAGATAGGAAAACAATGCCATTTATGGGATTAATTTATGATAAATCTTTTGTTTTTCTTGTTTTCCGTATTTATTTATCCGAGGAGTGAGGAAAGTGTTTTTTTTTTTTCTTTTTGATGCGGTGAAATGCCACTCCGTTAACTATAGAAAATGAAATCATGGAGGCTTGAAAGGAAAGTTTATTGATTTGTTTATTTTACAGTGATCTCATGTTAGTCAAATAAGTAAAACTTAGTCTGGTTTGTTGAGATTTGGTGGGAGGAAAAAATGAATTTGGGCCAGCCATTGTCTATCAAGAGTGTTTTTTAATTAGTTGTGACATGAACTAAATTGAATCTTTTGCTTTTCGCTGTGATAACGTAGTTCACGGTGTGGAATATGGTTTTGGAGCACATGATCATCCGACAACGGGGATTTTTGAGGTTGAGCCGAAGCAATGCCCGGGATTTATGTTTAGGAAATCAATATTGATTGGAAGAACTGATTTGGGTCCTAAAGAAGTTCGGGTGTTCATGGAGAAATTAGCTCAGGAGTTTCCTGGGAATACTTACCATCTTATCACTAAGAACTGCAATCACTTCTGTAATGATGTGTGCCTCAAGTTGACTGGGAAAAAAATTCCACGATGGGTTAATCGTCTTGCTCGTATTGGTAAGAGGCCCCTTTAAACTGGTTTATGCTATCAGTCTTGTGTCTGCTTTCAGATTGTTTTATGCTTGCAAAGACAGGAAAAAAGTGTGGTGATCATGCAAACGCAATTTGCACATTATCATGAATTCCACCATCTTTTTTCTGGTTTTTGCATTTCCACACATCTAGTTTTATAACCTGGTTATGTTTCCGATTTTATCATTAGTAAATTCATATTAAAAGAATTACAAGCCATGAAGTGTTCTACTTCGATTCTGTCATTGTTTATAATTACCTTTCCAGTCATTCTCACCCTGAAAATGCCAGATCTTTGAGTTAGCCATGATGTTGAAGATGTTGGTCTTATCCGTGTCGCAATTTAGCTAGGTTTCTATTTAGCCATTCCAACATGAAGTCTGGTTTTCTTTATTCTTTTTCACCATTTTTTATTGGAGGATATCAAAACTTATTATTTCGCTTTTAAAAATTTCTTTACGAGAATTTAGATATTTTCATGGCATGAAGATTTTCAGTAGATGATTCCCGCAGAGGTATTTTAGTGGTTACAAAGGGAAATGGATAGCCAACAGTTAAGGTTGCAAAATATCAAATTCTATTGGCGTGCATAATCCCAACGCGTGCCTTCAGAAGCCATATGCAATTAGATTATTATCAACCTCACCTTTTCTTACCCGGCAAACCAGGCATAAATTTAACGTTGGTGTTGCTTCTGAAAAACTTTCAGGTTTTCTTTGCAACTGTGTTCTTCCAGTAGAGTTGAATCAAACAAAAATCCGCCAAGTTAGATCCGATGATATTGTACAAGAGAAGAAGAAATTGAGAAGCCGTTCGACTAGGTTCACATCTTCTTCTAATCCGGTAACTTCCCATTCATTGACAGCTTGCCCTTCAAGTTCTGGAAGCAGAAGTGGTAGACAGAGGCGTTTTATTCCTCTGACTTCAAGATCTTTTGTTCATGATGACTCTACGTCCTTGTCATGGAGCTTGAAGGCTTAATGAATACATTACGTTTTGAAACATTTTAGAGTCTTAGACTTAAAAAAAAAAAATCAACTACAGATGGGCAAATGCAAAGCTTGTATTCTGCCCCATGTTACCTGGTTTTTGTGGTTTCTGAAACATCTGCTTCAAAGTTGTTGCAGAGTTTCTGTTTTCTGTAAAAATGATTACTGTTTTTAATGAATGCGAAGTCATGATTTCCTGTAAAAGCTAGTCACTGAAATTGTTCATGTTCTCTGTGAATGATGAAAGTCCAATGTCCTGTGTCATCTAGCAAGTGATGTCGATGTCGGGGGGCCTTGTTGCTATGTCATCATGGATAGGCCCGCATTAATAACCTACTTGTGGTTCCCCAAGAAAGCAATCTACTTTTGTTAGGTCAAAGAGATTTGGCCCTGTGATTATAATGATCGCTAACGGTTATCCAAGAAAGCAATCTGCTTTTGTTTGGTCAAATTAGTTGTGTGGTTCAGAGATAATAGTGACAGGAGTCCAACTAACGAAAATGTTATTAAAAGTCTACCGTAATTGATCAATACTAAAAGTATGTCTTTTGTAAGATCGCTGGATGTGCGTCTTGGGTCCCAATTCAGGACCACCTTAAACAATGAACTTGAACAATCAACTTTAGCTCCCAGTTTAGGCCATGGCCACATAACTTGGGCTCACAGGCCCTGTACAGTTTACAGACAATCTCAATGCATCTTGTTCCATCAGCCAAGTTCAGTTCTTTGTGCCTAATTAATGGGAGTTCGTAGATTCAAGCAACCGATCTCATTTATCATGCTTTTCTCCCGCATCGAAGAACCACATTATTTTGTGATTAATCGCACAGATACAGCTATCTTTCGTGCCCTGATATGCAAAATAATAGAGTGGGATTCCAACTTCAATGAAGAGACATGCTTCACGGTGCATCATTAATGAAAGTTTTGGCAGAAATAGATCACCTTCCCAGTCCCAATAAAAAAA